ATTTTTTTAAATAATCTAACATCACCTAAATTATAAGATAATACAAGGTTTTTAATATCTAATGGTAAATCATAAAATATCATATAATATTAATTATATTTATTTATTTAATTAGTAATTTAATTATGTATTTAATTATTAATTTCAGGTGTTTCTTCTCGTTGTTTCTTTTTGTTGTAATAATATTCTCTACTCTTTTGATTTCTTTGTTCTTTGTTATTATGATGATGCTCTCTATCTTTTTGTCTTCGTTCTTCCAAATTATTTAAGCGATACTCTCTACTCTTTTGATTGTATATTTCTTTATTCTCATTATAACGTAATCTGTTCTTCTCATTAATTTTATCTTTATTATTGATGTAATATACTTGCTTTCGTTCTTCAACCTTCTCTTTGTTAGTTTCCCTATATTCTTTTCTTTGTTGAATTATATACTCCTTGTTGTTCTCTCTCCATTCTTTGCTTTTCAATGCTAATTCTTCCTTATGCTTATTCCTGTATTCTTTTCTGGCTTCTCTTATTCTATCAGCATCAGTAGCGTTATACTCTTTTGCCTTTTGCTTGATATAATCCTTATTATTTTCTACATATTCCTGTTTATATTCTTTCAACTCCTCATCTGTTCTAAATGGACGTGCTTTGTTTAATGTTGCGTTTAGTTCTTCTATATATTCCCTCTCACGCTTCAAAGCCATTAATCTATTTTCACATGTTTCAGTGTTTATCAATATCATATCAAAATTGCCCCAATCACCATTTTGACGAATGAATTTATACAAAGGCATATTGTAATGTATTTTGTCATTTTCATTATTACAGGTTCTTTTATGAGCCGACTTTCTATTTTTGAAGTTTATTGTATGACCCACATAGCAGTCTTTGATACTTAAATCATTACATACTATTTTATAAAAATGTGTTTTGGTGTAATTCATTTCTTTTCGTGGCATTATAAAGTCCTATTATGTAATATAAGTTAATCTTTAATTGTAAATCGTTTCTCAAAATTAATATAGAACATACGATTACCATCTTTTGAATTCAAATTAACGAAAAAGAATGAATATGTAGAATGATTTATTGCTGTATGGTACATTTCTAAAAGTTTGTCCTTATCAACTATCGCTGCGTTTTCTTCAATAAAACTCATTAACTCTGATATATTCTTTAATAAAAAATGTATAATGAACTGGCATTGACACGAATTATATTGGCGACTGTTTTTATATTCTTGAAGACTACATATGCAAGAGATGGCGTCATGTCTTCCGCGCGTAAATAAACCGTGCAATATTTTTGAATATCTTAAAAATTTAGGGTCATCTGAAAAATCATCAATAACAATAAGAATTGAATATAATTTCTTCATCTTCTGTTCTTTCATATAATGAATTATCTTTCTTTGTGTGTTAATTATTTCTTCCAGTTCTTCAGGTTGGTAGGTGTCATAATATAACTTTTCTTTTTCGTCATCAACCTTCATATTATCTTTTTGGTATTTCTTGACTTCAACGAAGGTAGGGTCATTATGAACCGACGGGCTAAAAATGAATATACGGGCGAAGCAGTCCCTATAAACATTTAGGATAAGGTTTTGAATTAAAACTGTTTTGCCACCCGTTGATGAAGCAACAACAATGAAGCGAAAAAGTAGTTTTGGTACATGTTCATATTTAGATTGTTTGAAATCGTAATCAGTTATATTTATTGGTTTTATTATTGGAACATCAGACATAATAAAATAATATTAAAGTTATTTAGAAAATATTTTATATTTATTATTTTATATGAATAGAAGTTGTTCAGATTATATTGATATAATAGATGAAGTAGAGAATATAGAACAAGTTGTTATAACTAATAATAGATTCAATAAAGTATGCTATTTTGTTTTAGAATTAATTAAGTTTGTGATACAATATATTAAAAATATAAATATTAATATAGATGGGAAGAAAGAAAAAGAATCAGACTGAACCAGTTGTTTCTTCAACTGATGAAGAAAAAGAAGAAATTGTTAAAGAAACATCAGTTATTGAGTTTGCTTGTCCAATGTGTAAAAAGATGTTAGAATTAAAAAATGAATTAGAAATACAAAAGAAAGGAACTGTAAATGTTCGTGTATTCCGACAAGTTTCAAAATAAGTAAGAATGATAAGAAAATGAATATTGATAAAACTAAAGACAGTATAAACTTAGAAACAGATGTTCATAATATTGCTATTCGCTTTGGGAGGGGAGTTACTCCATCAGATAATGGTGATAAGGAAACTCAGGAAACTATACGCGAAATGATGAAAAATAATAGTTAAAATTATTTCTATTATTATTTATAATGCAAGATGTTATAAATAATATTATTAAATTCATTGATGTAAAAGAATTGAAATTAAATAATTTTATTGAAGAATATAACGAAAATGATATATTAATTAATTTTGTTAATGACTTTAGAAATAGCAAAATTGATTTTAACATGTTTTATAATTCTATTAATTATGCTGATTTATTTGAACAATCAGATTTAAAATTCTATTGTAAAAGAATATATTCATATACTTTAAGATTTATTGCTAATTATGATAATAAAAATGCTATTCAGTTTTATGAAATTACATTGAGAAAAATGAATAATATTTACAAAAATAGTAACATTAATGTTGTTAATGTGTTTGAATGTATTAAATGTTTAATAATTTATATTACAGATAATATTGAAAAGTTTCATAAATATTCAAAATTTAGAAAAACTATTATTTGTAATTTAATTGGTAAATTGAATAATAATTTAACGAGTTACACAATAACTAATTTTGAATTGACTTATAATGATATATGATTTCGTAAAATAAAAGTTTAGTTTTAAAAGTTTAGTTTTATAATTTAGTATATATTTACATGGATGAAGGATTAGAAAAGATTGTCAAAAAACTGAACAAGGTTTTAGAACAGAATAAGAATATTTTAGAAATCTTGCAAGAAATGGAAAAGAAGAAACCTTTAACAAACAGCTATCAAAGTAAAGAAGTAGATAGAACCAATGGCGAATATAAAAATAAGAAACAAGTGTATTTAAACAAACTCAACAACAAAGAGATAAAAGAGCCGAAGTCCTCCACTATGGCATTTTATCAAATTGACTATGATGAGGAAACGCAACTTTATTCATAAAGTTACATTTGCTCATTGAAAACTAAGCATAGTTTAGTTTTTAACGAGGAAACAGGGATTTTTATTCATAGATAATATTATCTAAATATCTTTAATAATGAACTTATTAGAGATGTTTAGTGGGACAGGCAGTGTTGCCGGTCGCATTCTGTGCTGATACCTTGCTGGGCTCAAAAGAAAACCCCTAATAATAGGTGGCAAGCCCCCTAATGATAGGTGGTAATTAGCAATCCCCCTAATATTAGGTGGCAAGCCCCCTAATGATAGGTGGCAATTAGCAATCCCCCTAATATTAGGTTGCAATCCCTAATTTTTGATTGAATTTGGACAAAAAAATAATAATACGGTGTATGTATATTATGTTGTTATAATATAAATTAACATTGTAAAATCTTATATGTTATAATTATACTAAACTTATGGTTTGTTTCTTAATTTTTATTAATGCCTTAAAAACGACTTAAAGAAATAGTGCCTTAATATAATAAGAGGAAAATGAACGGTGATAAGATCAATAATTATATCAATAAAAAATGCTATGATTGTTGTCACTTCAAAAAAGACAATATGGAATTGTATAAATTGAATTTACCTAATGACATAGTGAATAATATTATTAATTATTCAATGGATGAAAAAGACGAATGTGAAAATTGTCAGGAATGGAGAGATAATCAATTTTTAATCAAATGTTTGTTGAGAATAAAAGGAAGACATAATAGAAATGTAGAAGATGAGATTTTAATATTTCTAACTGTAAATAAAATACCACCTTATGATTATGTTAAACAGTTTCTTAAAATCAGTAAGAAAAATATCACATGATTTATGATATATTATGGATGTTGGGATATAGTCAAGAGAAAGGAGACGATGTTAAAGAAAATATCAAATTATTTATTGAAAGTAAAAAGTTTAATATTCAAAATACATTGAGAGATATTAATATTATTTCTAAAAGATGTATGAAAGAAGTAAGACAAATCAATTAAATTATTATCCTGTACTGAAATTATAATCATACTATAATAATAACATGTAAAATCATATATGTTATTATATTGAACTTATGGTTTGTAAAGATTGAAATATTTTAATTTTCCTAATTTGCTTGTGTGCTTAGGCTGTTTGGTTTTGTGGAACTATTAGGTGAAATGTGTTTTAGTCATATTTTTAAGTCTGAGTGAAAAATTCGCGAACAATGAATAAGGTAAAAAGAAAAAATGAAGAATTACTGGAGTTTCTGAGAATTGGAAAAAGACTTAAAATATAAAATGACTAAGGGTAAACAAATAGTAAAATGAAATAGGTTAAGTAGTGAACAAATAATGAATAAGGTGTGCATCTTTCTAGGAATTACTTAGAATGAATAAGGTTGTGATTTATTAACCTTATCTATTATTTGATACTTGGTTTTTCAATGTGTTTTTCCATTGGTTGATAGGAAAAATACAGAAATGATTTTCAGTTCCTTCAAATCCCATTTCTGTATTTTTCCCCCCCCCCCCTCCCCAATTTGAATCACGTCTTTTAACTCACCAAGTAGTGTCAGGATCCAAGGCCAAGCCAGAGAAGCATGCGTGGAAATCGAAAACTGGGAGCTGTGCTAAGGACCTGCAATCCTCAACCCGTCTCAGTCGCAAACAAATCAGGAATCCCATCCCCAACCTGGGCTCCTTGCTGTGGGCCTGCACCGATCAGAAACCTTGGGACTGATTCGATTCCCCTGTACCAACAAACCTTCTGGTTCGCCATTGCTTGGGTGGTGCGAAATGGATTTGGATCTGTTCGGTTTGGGTTTGGAAAAATCGCTTCGTGATGGACTCCAGGAAGCAGCTGGGGGCCGGCGTGATTGCGAGCGCCAGCCCTATGCTGCAAGCCTCCCACTTCCGGGCGCGGAAAGGGGGTGTTGTTTTTTGGGGGGGAAGGGGGGGCGGGGGGCGGGGGGCGGGGGGGGTGTTCAGCGGTTTGAGGCGGCTGCGGAGGGAAGAACCTAGTTGCTTGGTGTTGGTGGGGCTGGTGATGGCAAGACTTGTAGGGAATTTGGATGACTTCTATTCAGGGAACCATCACCAACGGACATACTGTGGATGGCCGAAATCCTGCGCCACTTAAATCACTAAGTTCAGAAGGATGTAGAAGGACCACCCCCCCCAATGTTGCTTGAGGCCTGTAAGGGTGGTGCAAAACTTTGCCGATACAACTTCTTCCCACAGCACCCCTCGCCCAGCGGCCGCAGGTGGCAAGGGTTTTGTGAGGTTTTGAGACCAAGCGGGATCTGAAAGTGCGCCAGGGCCAAATTCTGTCTGCCCCCTCAAAGCTGCCCCCTGCGCAGCCTCGCTTGGCGTGGATTGGGGGCTCCTACTTCTCATAGTTTCTGTTGGGAGGTTGCGGGCTTCGGGGGCACCGCCACTGCCTCTTTAGGTTGGGGGGAGGTCGGGTTTTGGTTTGGCAGGGGGGGTGGTGTTTAGGCTGGGAGTTTCGTGTTGTTTTGCTTTGGGGGGGACCACACAGCCTTTTTTTGAGGTTGGGGGGGTTTTGGGTTCGGGGGCCAAAATCACCACGTACTGTTTAGGTTGGGGGGTTTTGGGTTTTGAGGGCCGAACCCGGGCGTGGGGCGCGGGCAAACGTAGGGCGCTGAGCGTTGCTAACTTCTTGTCAGGGCGCTCCCAATGCTGCCCCGGTGCAGAGTTCTGTGCACCCATTGTATGTGGAAGTTTTTGACCATGGCACATTTGGTTGTGTCTCTAAGCAACGGGACCAATTTTCAAAAGGGAACCCAAAATCATACATTTTTGAGCACAGCTGGTCTGTGTTTATGGTTCCCCTAAACCAAGAGGGAGATACGTGATGAGTTGTTTTGCTCCGAGAGGGCTTGACTCATCTTAGTGTCATGGATAGGCTGGATTGTTGGTTTGGGCTATGCATTCCACGACTTTGGCTTTGAAACTGATACAGAACCGAACCGCATCGATCCGAAGATCCGAACCGCCGCAATACCTGAGTTTGATTGGTAAGCTGTATCTATAGGAACCGCTCTACAGGCACCGTTGTTGGTAGAACCAACAATTCAACGGATCTTGGGCACTTATCAACTTGCCCCACCATCAGACAGCTTTTGGCAGAGCTGTTTTCGGTAGCCAAAGTCAATGGGTCTCGGTTTCTCCATCGAACCCTGAAGTTGTGAACCCGGAGGTCACACGTCGACCCTTTCGGGAGACGACAACCGCGGCATGTCAGAGATGTGGTTGAGAAGCACGGCCCAAGCGGCGACTTGCGAAGCGCGGTTTGTAGTTCCATGTCCCAATCCCAAGAGGTATCCCACGACCCAGATAAATGTGGCAGAGCTCAATCTAAAGCAAAGCAGCAACAAGAACGAATAAGCACACAAAACAGACAAACAGAGTAAAAACAATATCAACAGATTGAAGGTGCAGTTTTTGCTCTGAGCTAATAGTTGTTGCCTTTGTGTGTTTGCAGGAAAGAGTTGTGAGTTGGGGAACATAACATCTTGCTTCTGTCAAGTGTGCTTGGTTTGCTGTCTTGGAAAGCCTCCGATATGAGTTGTCCCTTTGGGGCAAACTGCCCCTCCGGTTTTGTTAGTCCGTGAATCCTATCGTGGTTTCCAACAGTTTGAAGGCAAGCAAGCTGACCGCAAACCGTGAGTACTTACAGGCTTTCTCTTGCTTTTGTTCGTTAATTGATCAATCGATCATGTCATTTGGGTGTGTGCCATTGGTGTTGGATTCATCCCTGTGGCAGGGCAGAGACTGGGACCAGATGCCCGATGGGTGGCCGGCTCGGCGTTTTGCTTGCAGTCTTTGGGCTACGGGCCACTCACAAGGCCGTTAAATAGGGCCACACTTTTCTTTTGAAGGTATCCCTTTGACGTGCATGCGGTAGCCTCAATGAAACACCCAGACCATGATCAGCCTTGCGGACATCTGTTTCCCGAGAACGCGTGGGTCTTTTTAGAGTTGGTAATTGCCCGTTTTGGGGTGGGTTTTTAAGGGAAACCAATAGGTAAACCGCCAAACCAGGGCCATAATTTGAGACAAACCCATGGTAAGTTGCGTGGGATGTTGGATTAGGATTCTGATGATTTATCTCCTGTCTGGATGGTCTGGAAGCTGAAACGCTTGTCAAGCGAGCTCCATGGAAGCCTTCCTATGACTTGTGTTGCCCAATGAAAAGAGGGCATGGTTCCAGGTGGAGTCGATTAACTTGGAATGCAGGAAGGGTCACCTCCGCTGGGCAGACAGTGATGATTTGTCGATGCCAGGAACACGTGTTCAGTGGATGAGAACCATTTGGGGCTGGTTTTTTGGCAGCTATCCTTCCATCCACGTTGGCATTTCTCACTTAGTTGGTGGTCTCCGGAGACCGTTCTCCGCTAAGACCCTTAGGTAATTTGCCCACGTTCTTGGGGAAACCAATGTGGGTTTGTTTGTTGAGTTGGTACCCTTTTCAGGGAAACCAACCGCACAGCCACCATGTTTTGCGACACCCAAGATCTCCACGCGTTTTTGAAGCGGCCACGTTGCCCGAGGCTGGGCTTGTCTTCGCCCGTGCTCAAGGAGAGCAGGCTGGGCCTGGGAAGCACATTGCAGGAGATCTAGTCGACGGTTCAGTTTTTTGTGTGACTTTTACTGTGGATGGCCGAAATCCAGAAATCGCACCACTTGGAACCCATGCGAAACCGTAGTTTGTTGGCAGTTGCAGGGGAATCATCCTTTCAGGGTTTGCCAGGTGGCGCAGGATTTCGTCCATCCACAGTATCATGTCGGGTCTTCAGCAAGTCATTCACTTGCGACATTGTCGAGGATCCTTTTGTTTTTGGAGGGGGGGTTGAGGTTCACTGAATATGGTTCAGGATCAACAAACAATAGCGTTGTTGGCAAACGTGGGTGAGACAATTTCGGAGAATCGCTTTTGACCTCATTTACAGAATCTGCAGCACCTCAGTGAATTCCAGCCGCCCGATATTTGATGTTCCACTCCTTCGGATCTTCGTGCGCCCGAATTTGTTCAAGGGACATCAGTTTGTTTTGATTGCCTGGCCATTCTCGTGGAAGCTCCTTCCATTTGCTCAAATATGTCGAGTTTCCTCCTCTGTTAGTCTTAAAGGGAACCTATCACTACTGCTTTGCTTTTTCCTAGGGGTACGTAAATAATGGACGATTTCTGTGGCTGATTATGACTCAAACAGGCAGGAACCGCCCTGCGCAGGTCTTCCCCGGAGCCGAAGACAGCCCCCACATCTCCGCAGGAGCGGGCGAGCATGTGAGCCGACCGAACCTGGTCGCCTGGTTCGGAAGTCATTCTAAAACTGGCGCAAGCCACCGAACTGGTGCATTTTCGTGGGTTTGGGGGAACTTGTGGCACAAAAACCCAGCGGGGAGAACCTAATTGTGCTGGAAGAACCTCATGTTGCATATATATCTTCTAGGGGAATCAAACAATTTTTCACAATATCCCGTAGTCCGTGGTGCATTTGTGACATGTTTAGAGACGGGCGCTTCTCTTTTTCCAAAAGCCTCGGGGCTCACTCATGTTCTAATATCCTTCACGGCAACCGCATATTTCGTCTCCGCGGATGTCCGCCGCCCCGATCAAACGAGGGTCTTTGGAGGGTAGCAGAGTCCCATCCGACGGGGGCATGGCCACCCCTGAGATGGTCTCACGCACTCAGACAAGATGCAACTCATTCCCAGACCTAAGGTTTGGTGTTCAGGCCCAGATGCTTCGAGATGTCACCGTTTTCTCCTTTCTCTTGGTTTCCATGTGACTGAACAGACTTCTGCACCGGGTGGCATACTGGTTTATCAACCGGTCTTCAAATCGTGTTTCATCCATCCGGCTTCCAGCCGCAGCCGGCCGTGGGTGGGGCCCCTACTTTGAGAGAATCTCATGCGGGTGTGTCCTAAAATGGCTCCATCAGGATTGATTGTAAACCAGACGCACACCCAATCTCAAAGGGTTGTTTTCATGCCATGCATGAAGGCTGATGTCAATATCTCAAATTTAATGCTTGGCGTCTCCACTGTATCTTTGATTCTATGATGCCGTTGCATTCACCCCATCGCACTAGTCCAATCATTGATTCAGCATCGTCAGGAGGACCGAGAACGGCCCGAGGCAGTCAAGACAGGCGGCCGCCGGGCTCGGGGGCGTGCTGACGGATGGGCTCGCATTGACGGTGTATTGCGCGCTTTTAGCATGGACTTTGCACGCGCATCACATGTGAAGAATTCCATGGGGGGTTGTATCGCCTGGCCTTTTGATTAGCATGTGACCCCTTCAAGCAGCCAGATAGAAGAAGGCTTTGCCCAAAGATGAAGAACTGGAGAACTGCGAGCGACCCTGCTGCAAGTTAACGGCTTCTTGCACGCCGCCTTAAGTCGTCCCTCAAGTTTTCCTTTCCTTTTGAGTCTTGAGTTGGGACCTCCCATTTGTTGTCCCCATTGAACTTGGGGACCTAGACCCATTTGTTGTCCCCCTCACTTTTTTCTGGAGTGTTTCCCACCTTCCATCTGACTGAATGCTTCTCGGATGTACAACTAACAAGTGTTACCTGTTGTAAGTTTCGCACAACCACCCAGAAGGCTTCACGGTATTTTTCCAGGCCCTTCCAGGAACACATATATTTGTCCCGGCAAGACATGTGGCCATCCCAGTCCAGAGACAGGCGAAGAGACCATGAGCGACTTATTTCTCGAGGCACCAAGCCCATCGATGACGCCTTAGACGGCCTGGCTGAGGCGGTTCCAAAACCTGGGGGGCCCGATGTTGGGATGGGACCTTCATTCTAGGGGTACCTTCCATGTCCATTCCTCCCAGGGGTCCTTCTTTCCAAAAACATCTCACTAAGCCCAAGGAAAACGGATCCGGCTTTTGAAAAGAACGATGGCTGAAAAGAATGGGGAATCAAACTAGCTTCCTGGCGGTGCTCAGAGGGGTTCCCTTGGCTAAGGTGCACCTGGGAAGTTCTTTCTGGCAGGTAAGGCAGCGGTTCACGGCACAGGCCAAGTAGAACTTTTGCAATCGACCCGTTGGCGTTCTGACAAAACAGATGCCCATTTGAGCCGGTGTTACCATTTTTCCAAGGAAACTCGGCCCAGAGAATGGCAGCTTGGGCTTGCAACTTTGTGCGGATCAAGTCTCACATCTTGAAGCAATGGTGGCTGGTTGGCTGCTTGGCCCGCGCTGGTTGGTCTGGGTTTGTTTGGGTGGCTGGGTGGGTTGGTCAAGGATCCATCCCTGAGGACTCCGGTCCAACAAAAATGGGGGGGGGGGGGGTTCATCGAACATGGAGGCAACCTGGCTTGCTGGTTTGATGGGCAGGAAATGAGACATGAAATGGCCGCAAAAACATATTCCCAATGGTTTCCTTTTATTGGAATCCCCGAAACCGGTTCATTCCCAACATCCGGAAAGTCGTTCCCTACTTCACTCATTGCTCTGAAATGCTCCAAGGGGAACGGAACCCTGGCGACCGGTTGGGGGGGGGGGTAAGCATGGCCATGCAAAGTCCTGCCAGAAGCGTCAGGGATCTCAGGGATCTGCTTTTGCTTCGCAACCGGGAGGCTTTGAACAATGGAACTGGAGCCTTCCACTGCGATGAATCATTGCTAAGCAGCACATGGGCTCCCACCTCCCCATGCCAAGGTTGCATTAGTGGCCACATCTCTCATACCTTCAAAACATCCTGTGGTTTGGCCACCCAATAAATGGAATCGGACTGGGGCTGGAGGACAATCTTAAGGGACTCTCTAGTGGCTTCCGGTACATCTGAGGAGCTGCTGTGCCAACCTTGCAACAAGGTCTGATGTCCGAGGCTTGTGGCGTAGGTGCAGCTTTTGCGCAGGAGCTGTTGCTGGACGATCGCCTTCCGGCGGCGGGGTGCCCGGCGACGAACCGCCGCCTTGGCGACGAGTTTGTGCCCAGTGCCAACAACCACTCGTCGAAGGGTCAAGCTCAACTTTCTTTACAGAAGTGGCGGCTTCCTCGTATTGGAGGGGTTTTCTAGCTAAACTTCCTTTGATCAAAAGAGTACAAAAAGAGTACTAAAAAAGGACGAACATGGGAAGAACTGGTGAAATCCACAAAAGGCCTATCCAAACCGCTTTCTAGAAAATGTTATACTATAGTCTAAATCACATATATATATATATATATTTACTCTATAAAACGAAACCGTGAAACTTGCTCGTCGCACTTGCGCGCGTTTTCCCGGACCGCTTTTCCGAAAAACATACTCTATAAAACGAAACCGTGAAACTTGCTCGTCGCACTTGCGCGCGTTTTTCCGGACCGCTTTTCCGAAAAATCCAGGATATTTCGGAAAATTGGTCCGGGCTGCCCCTGGAAGATGTAACCGCTTCATATTTCCTACGGACCGCTTGCCCAAACATGTCCGGGCTACCCCGGGCATATGTGCGGAAGACATAGTGGCTTCATTTATTGTAGGGACGATTTTCCCGAAATATTCCAGATATTTCGGGAAAGCGGTCCGGGAATCGCAGCCACCCACCATTTTCTCGAAATATTCCGAATATTTCGGGGACCGTTTTCCCGAAATATTCCAAATATTTCGGGAAATGCTATCGTCGAAATATCCGGAATATTTCGGAAAAGTGGTCTGGAGTGCGACTATCGAAATATCCGGGATATTTCGGAAAAATGGTCCGGGCTTTGAGCGAAGCCGTTGTGTCTTCCAGATAAAGAGTCGGGGCATATATCTGCCTGTCCATAGCCATTTTGGCTGAAATCTTGCGCCCGTCTTCTGAGAGTTTCGGCTTTGCTTGCGCCCAGGATGTTTTCTGGTCGATTGCGTTTTCGCTTGCGCTTGCAACAGCTGCATATGTGGATGGATCTTTTGAGGCCAACAACCCGCGGATCCGTTCTCACCTTGCTCAGGCGATCGCCTTTCACTGACTCTTTAGCGTGACCTTATCGCGACCAGCCCGGCCCTCAGTGCGTCTCGCGACCTGTGTTTGGAGAACGGCATGCTTTTCGCGTGCGAAGAGTAAAAATGTGCATGTGCCTGAGTTGCAAAAAATGTCTTGCCGGCGCGGGCTCTACGAGATTTGGTCTGTTCTTGGCACACCCACCACGGCGACGGGCTACACGACGGGACGGGGGGGCGACAATACAGTTCATGACAGGATGTGACATGTTGGGGCTTACACGACGGGATGGCTATATGGCCCATTGGGCCAGAGACCTGTGACGGGCCACACAAGACCAGTCCACGACGGATCGAGTGACTGGACTGCGATAGGCCACGCATCAATGAGGGGACAGCCGCCACCAACATGGGCCAAAGAATTGGAGGAGGGACGTGCCACGGGCCATGTGCAATGGGGACCACGACGGGCCAATGACGGGGCCACGACGGGGCCTGCGACGGGCTACACGACGGGACGGGGGGGGCGACAATACAGTTCATGACAGGATGTGACATGTTGGGGCTTGCACGACGGGATGGGCCATATAAAAACCCATGGGTCACACGACGGTACCCGCCACGAAGCCATTGACGGGCCACACAAGACGAGTCCACGACGTCACCAACAGGGGCCAAAGAATTGGAGGAGGGACGTGCCACGGGCGATGTGTGGGGGACTACGACGGGCCCGCTACACGACGGGACGGGGGGGGGGGCGACAATACAGTTCATGACAGGATGTGACATGTTGGGGCTTACAGGACGGGATGGGCCATATAAACACCCGTGGGTTATACGACGGCGCCCGCGACGAAGACATTTCGAGACCTGTGACGGGCCAAAAGACGAGTCCACGACGGATCAAATGACTTGACGGGGCCACGACGGGACTTACGACGGGCTACACGACGGGGCGGGGGGGCGACAACACAGTTCATGATCAACAGGATGTGACATGTTGGGGCTTACACGAGGGGCGGGCAATATAAACACCCGTGGGTTACACGACGGCACCCGCGACGAAGCCATTGCGAGACCTGTGACGGGCTACGCAAGACGAGTCCACGACGGATCGAGTGATTGGACTGCGAAGTCACCAACATGGGCCAAATTGTTGGAGTGCCACGGGCCATATGGGGGACCACGACGGGCTCATGACGGGGCTACGACGGGATTTGCGACGGGCTACACGACGGGATGGGGGGGGACCACAACACAGTGCGTGACAGGATGTGACATATTGGGGCTTACACGACGGGACGGGCCAGATAAACACCCGTGGGTTACACGACGGCGCCCGCGACGAAGCTATTCCGAGACCTATGACGGGCCATACAAGACTAGTCCACGACGGAGATAGGCCACGCATCCGTGAGGGGATAGCCGTCACCAACATCGGCCAAAGAATTGGAGGAGGGACGTCCCACGGGCAATGTGTGGGGGACTAAGACGGGGCAATGACGGGGCCGCGAACCTGCGACGGGCTACCCGACGGGACGCGAGGGGCGACAATACAATTCATGACAGGATATGACATGTTGGGGCTTACACGACGGGATGGGCCATACAAACACCCGTGGGTTATACGACGGCGCCCGCGACGAAGACATTACGAGACCTGTGACGGGCCACAAGACGAGTCCACGACGGATCAAATAACTGGACTACGACAGGCCGCGCATCCATGAGGGGACAGCCGCCACCAACATGGGCCAAAGAATTGGAGTGCCACGGGCCATGTGGGGGACCACGACGGGCCAACGACGGGCCACGATGGGACTGCGACGGGCTACACGACGGGATGGGGGGGCGACAACATAGTGCATGACAGGATATGACATATTGGAGCTTACACGATGGGATGGGCCATATAAACTTCCATGGGTTACACGATGGCACCCACGACGAAGCCATTGCAAGACCTGTGACGGACCACGATGCATCGAATGTCTGGATTGCGACAGGCCACGCATCCATGAGGGGATAATTATCATACTTACGAGGGGATAGCCGTCACCAACGTGGGCCGAAGAATTGGAGGAGGGATATGCTACGGGCTATCATGACGGGCTAATGACGGGGCTATAACAAGCTACACGACGGGAAAGGAGACGGACGAAGGATAGGCTACGACATGTGGGATCTATGTAAGCACATAATAAAGCCATGATAGCGTTACGGGCTATGTAATCATAAGGCTATATGATGCGTTAGCCTAGGCCACGACCACATGACGGGATGCGAGATTACGGAAAGGCTATAACGTGATTTGTGATGGGCCATAATTTGGATAACATAATCCACGATAGGACGCGATGCGCTGTTATAACAAAGCCATGGGCCCTGCCACGATATGGTTATACAACGGTCAAGATCTATGACGGGGAACACGGGACGTATGACAACTCACGACATATGGGCCACAACGAGGTGCATAACGAGTTTATGACGGGATAGCTATGATGATTTACCACGAAATTTACGAAATTACGCTCTTTTTTATGTTAATAGAGACATCCTTATATAAACCTTTGTACGGTTTACATTGAAACAAGTGCTGCATATATGGCCCCTGTGATAATGTAAGCAAAGCTTTGCCGTGCATATAATCCCTTGTGCAAAATGTGTAGAGCCTTGTTGGTGTGTGTGTGGGACTTTGTCGTAGTGATATTTGTTTTGTCGTAATTTTCATTTTTTGTCGTAGCTTTTATTTCCTTGTCGTAGTTAAAATGTGTTTTTGGGCCTTGGCCCCTGAGAGTTCGGCTTGTGCGATGCTTTAGGAAGAATGCATGAAGCT